AGTTTGGTTCCCTTAACGAGCTCCCAGATCCGCTCGGCCAGCCCGTCATCTTCCCTGAGCTTATCCCCCTCTTCCTCGGCGACGATCTCGTCCGACGGGAAATTGTGCTTGAGTGCGGCGATGATGAGGGCCTGGGCGCCGAAGTCGCCGACGGTCACGGGGGACGCGTCGGACTTGGACACCGTGCCCTTGGCCGAGTCGAGGAAGACGCGGCGGGTCAGGAGGGAGGCGCGTTGCACGGCCAGCTGGGCTACGAGGAGCTCTTTTTGGTAGGAGGCCATTGTTGCGGCGGGGGGAGTGTGGTGGAAGTGGCGGGATAGAGATGTGATGCGGGAGAGGATGGTTGGGACTAGGGGCGTCGGGGAACCGAAGAGGATGGCCAGGGTGAGGATTGCCAGGGAGGTTAGGAAGGTGAGTAGGCGGTAGGATCTTGCTGGTCTGGTGGGCTGGTTGGATTTTGTAGCTGGTGACATAAACGAAGAGTCTAATTGATCGTGTTGTGAAGCACTGAAGAAGATGGAATGTATCTGGACTGGGGCAACTGTGCAATTTCTCGGGCAACCTGGAACTCTCTTGCAAGGAAGCTGGAGCAACTGGCGGGGCGGCAGTGACGTTGATTTTGTGCCCCGCATCACCTGCGGCATCTGAATCTGGTGCAGCTGCGATCTCGCAGGGCGCATCATGCAGGGGGTCCGTTTCTCTATCCACAAGACCTCGTCTTATCTCACAGATAGATGTATTTTATGTGCATTGTATAGGCCAACTGAGATGAGCAAGGAACCATCTAAGTACACACGGTGAACTTGCCGGAAATTGGCGTCAATGGGCCATCTAGACTGGCGATGTTCGTCTGCTGGAGTCAGTCTCAGGCATACCTTACATATCTTATCATTGATGTAACAACCGGCTCACTTATTCATTTGGCACCTGAGAAAGCATTTGATCGTAATGCTCAAATTGTAAAACTAAACAGGTGATAATGTACCAGCTATCTCAAACCCCAGAGACAAGCCTCCAAAAACAGGGTATACACAAATGTCCTCCTCTCACCAGCCAATCCAGTCACCCGCTTACGGGAGCTGCTTGCCCTTGTACCCCTTGGGAGCGAGGTAGACATTGTACTCCAAGTCAAGCTCGGCCTTGTCATCGCCCTTCGACGGCTGGAAGTCAATGATCAGATCCGGCTTGACAGCAAAGACGGTATCCGTCTCCAGCCACGGGTCGTCCTTGGGGTAGAGCTGGGTAGTGCATCCCCGGAAGTCGTCGTGCGTAACCATGATGTGGATGTGCGCGGGACGCATGGGGTGGCGATCCATGAGGTTGAGCAGGGCGTACGAAGGGCCGTCGGTGGGGAGGGAGTAGGCGGTGGGGTGGAGGCAGTAGAACCAGTACTCGCCCTTCTCGTTGGCGCGGAACTTGCCGCGGAGGTTGTTGTCCGACTGGTTCTCCGGGTCCTGGAAGTCGTACTTGCCGTTGGCCGACGCCTGCCAGATGTCGAAGACGGCGCCCGGGATGGGCTGGTTGGTGGTCATGTCGCGGATGACGCCGTGCATCTTGGCCACGCGGCCGCCGGCGGGGACGGGGTCCTGGATGATGCTGCCGCCGTTCTCGCGGAAGGGGGCGTTGGGGGACCAGAAGGGCCCGAGGATGGAGGACGAGGTGGGGTCGATGTCGCCTTCCGAGATGATCTTGTGGGCGATCTCGTCGACGAGGCTGTGGCAGGAAGTTAGAATAGGGTGTCTTGAAAGGGTGATGTTCGCAGTATAACTCACGATTCGAGACCGAGGATGTCGGAGATGCGGTGAGACTCGTTACGTTGCGGTGTGGAGATCTGTCCGACGGCGTTGACGAAGTGAACACCGGCCATCCACTCGGGGATGGTGAGCTCGACCTCACGGGCGAAGTCGTGGAGGTGGCGGATGAGAGAGCCGAGAACGACGCGGTTCCGGTCGGTCATCTTGGGGCCCATGGTGTTGACGACATTGTCGGTGAAGTTTGGGTCGAACCTGTGGGCGGGCTTCGCCTTGTTGCCCTCGGGACCGTTTCCGTTGGTGGCCATTGTGATGTTGTGGTGTTTGTAGGAAGGGGTATATGGTGATGAGGCTGGTGAGTGAGTGAGAGAAGACTCTTGTGAGATGTCTGAAGCTGGTATATATGAGGAATGAGAGAGCAAGGAAAGGGTCAGAAGATCTGGGGAACTACCGCCTGTTAAATAGGCCTGACTCTCATTGTCCGACAAGCGTATATGCCCCAGCGCCGGCACTGCAATTGCACTCGACGTGATAGGACACAGCTTTGCACTGGCAGAGCGGTCCGTGGTGTCATTTCCCCGCCATATCCAGGCTCCGGACTCTCATCGCGGCAGGTTGTAGTTCGAGGCCAGAATCGGAGTGGAGGAGTGGAGAGTTGGAGAAGGTGTCCGGGGAATATTTAGTCCCCCGACTCAGTGCTCGACTCAGTCAGAGTCAGGCACACGGCCACTCACACGGGGCAGAGGCCGCTCTTGCCTGCTTGCTCCCCAGTTTGTCCCCAGTATCCTCCCAGGAATGGATCGAAAGCGGATCAGCTTCCGACCCGACCTAGACTTAGACACCGGTCATGGCCTGAGGTTTTCAAGGGATTTCCTATCCGGCTTCATGAAGCCGATTCACGGCGCCTCCTTTCGCCGCACACGGAAACATTCCGGGACGGTTAGTCGCAGCAATAACGGCGATACGTTGTTGGCTGAAAGCCATCCTCAATACCTCCCAGGTCTGATCTCGTCCAACGTCGACTCAACTGCGAGATGAGATCAGATCGGAGACCACGGCTATGCACTTTTGCGAGAGCGCACAGGGCCCACCAATGCCCAGGTGAGCTGTGAAATAAATCTTTACCCGGACGACTGCCCCCCACCACAATTCCGTGCCAAGCGCAAGAAAGGACGGCAAGCTCCAACGGCGAAGTTAAATGCGATCCGCGCCATTGGACAATTGAAATGTCCCGCCACTTTGAACCCCAAATCGTGGCCCCCGTAGAAACTTTCTTCCCCACACAACCTCACAGCAACCAGGTCTCAGTACCGAGACGATGGGAATGGCATCCACATGGAGGGGTAGCACGGCGCGAGTTGTCGGCGTAAACTGCGACTGTTTCCTAGAATTAGTTTCTCGAGACGGCTTGAGGAGAAATAGTAAACAATTTCGTCGTGAACTATCGTGAACACTTACCGTCAGCTTGCCGTATCGTATGATCGCGAGAACTGCCCCCCGCACAGCTCTCCCCAGACTCTTCCCGCAAGCCACCACATACCGACGTCACTCCAAGATGCCGATCCACCACTTGATGATAGGGACTTGGACGCCCCCAGGCGCCATCTTCACCGTCGCCTTCGACGACGAGAAGTTGACCCTCGACCTGGTGAAGCGCACGCCCATCCCCGAGGACGAGCCGATATCATGGATGACCTTCGACCACAAGAGGAAGAACATCTACGGCGCGGCCATGAAGAAGTGGAACAGCTTCGCCGTCAAGAGCCCGACTGAGATTGTGCACGAGGCGTCGCATCCGATCGGGGGAGACCGTAAGTCTTCCCATCTCATCCTCATCACCCTGCCCAGGCCAATGCACTAACTAACATTTGCCCTTCCCTCCAGCCCAAGCCCAATCCCCGACAACCAACACCCGCGCCATCTTCCTCCTCGCCGCGCAGAAGGCCCCCTACAACGTCTACTGCAATCCGTTCTACAAGCACGCAGGCTACGGCAACGTCTTCTCCGTCTCCGAATCGGGTGCCCTCGAGAAGAATGTCCAGAACTACCCCTACGCCCCCGAGACCGGCATCCACGGCATGGTCTTCGACCCGGCAGAGGAGTATCTCTACTCGGCCGACCTGACGGGCAACTCCATCTGGACGCACCGCAAGAATGCCGACGGCACCGTCGAGCTCGTCTCCCGCTTGTACGCGCCCGACCCCCTCGACCACCCCAGATGGGTAGCCATGCACCCGTCGGGGCAGTACCTGTACGTCCTCATGGAGGCGGGGAACAGGTTGCTCGAGTACGTCATCGACCCGGTCACGCACTGTCCGGTGTACACGCACCACTCCTTCCCGCTCATCCCCCCCGGCATCGTCGCGAAAGACAGGGAGACAGGGAAGGGGCTGTACAGGTCCGACGTGTGCGCCGTGACGAGCAGCGGGAAGTACATGTTCGCGTCGGCGAGGGCGAACAAGTTCGACCTGGCCGGGTACGTGGCCGCCTTCAGGCTGCGGGAGTGCGGGAGCATCGAGGAGCAGCTGTGCCTGATGCCGACGCCGACGAGCGGCGGGCACAGTAATGCCGTGTCTCCGTGTCCGTGGAGCGACGAGTGGGTTGCTATTACCGATGATCAGGAGGGCTGGGTTGAGGTGTACCGGTGGAATGAGGAGGTGCTGCACCGCGTGGCGAGAGTGAGGATTCCCGAGCCTGGGTTTGGGATGAATGCTATTTGGTATGATTAGGCGTAGGTGGAGAGATGCTCGGTTGATGTTGATCCGTGGAGGATATGTGAGGAATAGAGGAGAACCCGGATAGAGCCCTAAAACTTAGAAGGAGAGCATCCAGAGTTGTAGAAGCAACAAAGGCAATTCATGGGATTGATCGGTTAGAAACCTTTGCACTGTGGTGATGTTGGCAGATGCAGCACCTGTGTCTCTGTTTTGAGGTCATCGCGACATTGCGTATGGTGATTGAGGAAATCAACTGGAAAAGTCAATTCAATTGAAAACGCGCGACGCGAGCGTTTGCCAAAAACTAGAAGGAAAGCGCCGCCCAAAAAAAAAATTCCATGTGCAAAAGGAAGGAACCCCAGGCTGCATGCACCCTTGCCAACTTCCACTCAATCGAGGAAGGACTGCCCGACCAACAACTCCCTCCGCAAAAACAAAAAGGAAGGTGCGACCAAACTGTAAGTAAAACAAGTCTTGAAGCCATCACCAAGCAGCAAAAGCAGCAAAAATGAACCTGTGAGGGTGATTTTAATGGCTCCGCCGTGAATCGAACACGGGTTGCATCGGAGGTGTTGAAGAGGAACCACAACGATGAGTCTTGACCACTGGACCACGGAACCTCTCTTATTTGATGAAGGACGGAGCGGCTAGTCTGTTTCAAGGCTGGTTGAATGCCGGATGAGACGGAATGAGGGGTGGGACAAGGTGGAGAAGGAGCTCAGCAACGATTGGTGGAGCTGGATGGCATGGTCGAACGAGAACGAGAACGACGACGGCCTGATGAGACGACGAGTTGAGATGCCCAAGACAGCCTTTCGAAACAACCACTCTCATGGGACATGTCAGTCATTGCAGAGGGGTTGGCATGAGAGCGATGGGCGTTTGATCATAGAGAATGAATGCAAATGAAGTAGTCGTCGAACCTTCATGAGTGTCACTGAAGCATTACGGTCTCATGCAATTCAGCTTTCCACGAAGGGGTCAACGACAAGGAGGCGGACCTAAGGTATCTGAGACGATGCCAACCATTACGAAGAGGACATGGTGATTATCACACGAGGCAGAGAGGACCAGATAAATCATTCCAATGTGAGATGTGCCAATGTCGCTGGAAACCAGTTCATGCAAAAATGTTGTACAACTCCGTGGGCCTCACTCACTCAGGGAGCTATTGATACTATCTAAAACAAACGAAACAAGCGAATGGGGGGGGTATAAGCGTATTGTTAAAAGTACTCGACTTTTCTCCTTTCCTTCTCTTTATCATACCGGACTCCTCGCTTGGCCATATCAAAACATTCTCAACATCCGCTTTTCTCCTACCCTATACCCATCTCAGACCATGACCAAGCTCACACCTTCATCTCACACCATCTCAATCTCCTCACACCCCTCCCCCTCCCCGCTTCCCCCTCCCCAACCACAACAAGGACAACAAACCCCGCACCAGCAGAGCAAGTGACAAACCTAACGTCCCCTCTGCTCCTGTCCGTGTCCTCCATGTGCATGTCCCAACCGCCGAAACCAGTGCCCTAGGCTCCTCATCTTCCCGCCGAAGCCCCTTTCTGTGCCTCGTTGTCGCTCGACCATCACCGCGGAGGGCATTTTAAACCGCCCGTTCACCTCGAGACTCGCGCGTGGCGGTGCCGGGACGGGTAGGAGGGATATGTTGTGGTTGTAGTGCTGGGATTGGGGTTGAGATTGAGAGTTGTGGTCGATGGTTTGGTTCGAGTGGATCGTCACCATCGGCGACGAGGGGGTGTAATACGCGCTCTGCGTCTTGCGCTCGCGGTGGGAGGGGGAGGACGGGGAGAGGGTGGCGTGCGACGGGGCGGTACCGGTGGAGGAAGATGGGGGTTGGGTGTTGTGGTTGAGGGAGACGATGGCTTTGTCCATTGCTTGCGGTTGGACAGTAGGGGATTGAAATTCTGACGGGAGGGTTGGGCTTGATAGGATTGGGACGGATAGAGGCAGGCTCTGGTGGCGGAGTTGCTTGTCCCGTTTTTCCTCAGCGCGCGAGCTGCTGTGGCTCAATATCCGCGGCCGTCGCGTGGAGGAGGACTTGCGAGAAGAGGGCGGGCGGTGGTGCTCGCTGTCGCTCGACTCTAGTTGCTGCTGCGCGGACGCGATGCGCGTGCGCTGCATGAACGCCGCGCCGGTGCTGGTTGCGCGCCGCGCGGGGGGACGGGTGGGCGTTGAGCTCGGGCAATTAGACGGTTGGGGAGACGGGGGCGCCTCCCACCAGGCCGGGGGCGGCGCTGCCGACGGGGAGATGAAGCTGCCGCCGGGGGAGAAATCCCGGGACGCGATCGTCTTGGGCGGGGGGTGGTAGTCGTCGGAGCTGTTGCGTCGCCTGTTGCGGGAGGGTCGGCTGCACCGGGCGGGTATGTCGGTTATGGTTGAGGTCATGCTGGGTTCGGTGGAGGGAGGGCCGTGGTGCTCGGCTGCTGCTGCTGTGATGTGGTGGGAGTGGGAACGGAAGTAAGGCGACCATCCCGACTCGAGGGCGAGGAAGACTGCGGTTACTGAGATGAGGAGCTTGGTGCATTCGTCTATTGGGTGCGTTGTGCGATCTGTCTCCGGCTCGGGCGTCGCGACGCGGCGGGCTTCGCTTTCCACTTCTGCTGCTGAGGAGGAGACGGAGCGGGAGAAGGCGGGTTTGGAGGGCGATGTGGTGGAGAGATTCTGGGCTACGTTTAGTGTGACCGCGCGGGAGAGAGGTCGACAAGGCGGGTACCGGCCTGAGGAGGTCGAGACGGATGTGTACGTGTCTTGGATGTCGAGGAATTGTGGCGTCAAAGTCGCCATGATGGGGTGCCGCCTCGTATCCGGGTTGATGATGCTGAAGGTGTACTTTACGTCTGCAGACTCGGGCATTGTCCGTCCAGCTTTGGGTGCTGGCTCCGTAGGTGCTTGAGCCGGGACACTCTTCGAGACAGGTCTCCGCACCCACCGCGCCGTAGTCGTGTTCCCACACTCATCCGTGCGGGCGAACTCGAAGGACCCCGTAGGTAGCGGCCTAGCAACCCACACCGATCCATCGTCGAGCACAATCTCGGTCCGGTCAGACTTCCTCACCGGACTCAGCACAGCAACCGGTTGCCTCTGCTCCAGCCTGCCCTCCTCATCTTCACTGTCCACGTCATCAGAGACCGTATCGTAGTCCTCGCTCCGCATCAGCACAACATCCGCAGACCCCAGCTCCCCCTTGGGGCCAAACAGTCCTGGAAACCGCTTCGCGAGCCGCGGTGCTATCACGGGCCCGGCTATTCGCGACGAGGGAAAGACGTCAATGACCGGCCTCGGCCGCTTGTTAAGCGACACCTCCTGCAGCTGCAGGAACAGCTTGGGCGCGACCTTCTGCACCACCCTCTTCTTGCCGGCAAACCTGGGAGCTGGGTAGGCCAGAGCGAGTTTCGTCGTCGCCTTTGGCCTGGAAGCGCGACTCGACGCCCGGCTCCGCCTCCGCTTAGGTGTCGTTTCCGAGGGCGTCACAGTCGGCGCCTCCGAGGGGGCGTGGGAACCGTCGCTGAGCTCGGACCCGGACATGATGGACACCGCATCCTCGGCCATGGGCGTGCTGGGCGTCTCCTTGTCCTCGGGCTCCAGGAAGCGGACCACGGGTTCCGGCAGGCGCACGACAAACTCGGAGAACGGTCGTCTGGCGGGTTCAGATGCGAGTGATGGTCTGGCGCCGTCGAGTGAGACCGGGCGGACGTTGGGCGTTGCGAAGGCCGAGCGTAATAATGGCGAGCGTTTGTAAGTGTGGTGGTGTCGATGACCGGCCGGGGATGCTTGGCGGTCGGAGTACTCGTGGCCATGGAGACTGGCTCCGGAATGGAGGAACATTGTGTCGTCAAGAATGGTAGGAGGGACTGGCATCGACGTCGACGCCAGCCCTGGTTGGAAGGGGCGCTCAGAATGTAGAATGGAAGGAGCTCTTCAAGAGCTAGGTTGCTTGAAACTGGATGATGTCCAAGTCCCCGCCTTCTTGATATTTGAAACGGAATAAAAGAGTTGGTATGTTGACCAAGGAAGGAAGCAACCGTGAGGGACAAATATCAGAATTGTGGATGTCGAAGTTGCCTAAGGTATCCAAGTCCCGTCACACTATGTTGCCATCGTCGAAGTAAGGTATAGACTTAGGGGTTAGTCCCTGTAATGAACTTGAGTTGAGTTCGCCTTCCTCTTGTGCCAAGTAAAATGATTGTTGGAACTGGGATACCCGTCCGAGTCGACCGAGTCATTCACCGTCCACCGTCCGATACTGAAGGAGCAATTGAGCCTCACGGCGCTCGGCCAAGGGGGGTGGTGAAGTGATATACCAAGATGCGGCGGCGAAGGAGCCTGAGATTGCCGTGTAAGGGAGTGTCAGCAATTGGAGGTGTGACTCGATTCCTTCGCTTGTGGTTGGCCGAATGGCTGATGGCTGACTTTGGGTGCCGTTGGCTGTGCTTAGTTCTTAGTCGCGGATTCAGACTGACTAAAAGAGACGAGCAACCCCTTTCGGACGTTGGTTGCAGTTGAGTTGGGGCTGAATCGTCGGGTCCAAGATGCAGACAATGGGAGTTTGGAAACAGGAGATGGATGCGATGGTCGTGCAAAGATGAACCAACACAACTCATGCACCCCGATTGAGCTCGGAAGAAAAGGTGAAAGGTTCAGGCTGCAGCAGCAGTGGTGGTGGCCAGAGTGTAGGATCGTTCGAGTCTCACGGCATGTATCATGGACTGATATTCGCCGATGTCAGATTGGCTTGCGCGGGAGCGGTTACACACGTATGTGATGATGCAGCTGACCTCCAGACTGGCTCGGTGATAGCTCCGGGGGGTATGCCACTCCTCGTTTTAGAGTTTGGGCAGAAACGGGAACTGTAGGATTCAATCTGACCTTGATCAACAACAGTGGCAACAAAGATGATGGTTGGCAAAGAAAGCCAATCAAGACAAAAGCAAAGAAGGCTCTGGTTTGATATATCAATCAGGTACAAAAGTGATGTCGGAAAAAGCACCTGACGTCCCGAGGCAGTGTGTGGACACATGGATTGATGGATGGGCCCCGACGGACTATAATGATGGATCTCAGGCCAGGGTTGTTGAAGTATCGTAGTATCGAAACGACAGAACAGGCTATCCCGGCGCCGAGACACTTCATCGACGGCCTTACTGTGTACTAAGTGCGGAAGTGAGGTCAGAGGTCCATAAGAAGTGGAAGCCGTTTGGGTTCTTTTGCACGTGAGCACTTGGCAAAAGGGTTGGAAAGGGGCGGCAGAGAGTTAAGACAAAGACCATATCCCCAAATGGGGTTGGCAGACGAGACACACGACACACCGGTAGCAATATATTACCGGGTCTGGCAAAACAAGGGACGGCTAAAATTGTAGAGGTGTCGTGCTGACTGCGTTTCTACCGTAGTACAGTCCGGCACTGTCTAGGTCTACACAACAGGATTACTCAACCCGAGAGCGAGCAAGCAACAAGAAACACAAAACCTGGAACCCCCTGTCGCATGCACTGCCGGCTGCCTCGGAACGGTCCAGCAGCCAGCCCTAAGAGGAGGGAAGTCTAACCAGATCGACAAATCAATCGCTATGCGGTATCCGGTCGGACGCGTGTTGGAC